CCAGGATAATTTTTCTGTTTTTACTAGAGACGGGGTCTTGCTCTTGCTCAGGCTGGTCTTGAGCTCCTGACTTCAAGCGATCCCCCTGCCTTGGCCTTCCAGAGTGCTAGGATTACAGGTGTGAGCCGCCGCGCCTGACCTAAAATGATAATTTTGACTTTTTGTTGGAAACATCTCTGATTATTTTTACATTTTGTTTCCCCAAATCAAGAAAGTTTTTTTTTAATTTGAGCTATTTATATAGTACAATAATTGAGTAAAATATACTTTTGTGAACAAAATTGTAACATTTGCCTTTCTTTCTACCTAAATTCTCCAGATTTGGGAAACTATTCATCAATAGTTAAGGTCAAAATAATGGCAACCGAATAACTGGAGATAATTTATTATTCAGGAGAATGACATGTAGCCTCATGTCAAAACCAACCTCATATTGCTAGCAATCCCTCATGTTGCTGTAGCCCACCTATAATAACAAGGTTCTTTTCCCCTGTTGAGGGACATGACTTTCTTGGAAAGAGCCTTCCCTGTGCAGAGTAATGAAGATTGTCTATCACTGTAATCTAAATAGAGATTGATCATCAAAGCTTCCATGGAAAGTTTTGTTTTCTTTTTTTTTTTCATCGAAGGGGTAAATGATAACCTATGGATCAAATTTGGCAGTTTACTTTAAAAGTAAAAAGACTTCCAAATTAACCCACATGGGGGCAGTGTTGTGATTCATAGTGACATCCTGCTCCTGAGTTAAGAATCTTACCATGATTTCCTCAAATTGTTGACATACTGATTAATGTATTACCTACTGACACTGGAAAGGATGTTGATTTATTCCTGAAACATGAAGTTTTACTGGTTCTCCTGCAGGTAGACATTTTAGCTTGTATGTTGTATAATCTGTAGCCAATGATTGTAACCTCTGTGTTGTAACTTCCAATGAAACGGACGACTCTGGTATGAGGGGTCTTCCTCTCTTCTTCTAAACTTTCCTATAAAAGTCTTTCAACTTGTAAAGACTTTGGAACATGCTCAACTTTTTGGTGTGTCTTGCCAGGTTGGTACTCACTTTTGTCTTCCAATAAAGCTTTGTTGAATTATTTGTTTCTCAACAGCCTTAATTTTGGTCAAAAGTTGCATGTTCTATGTTTATGTAAATTCAACTGTATTTTAGATTA